GTACAAGGAACAGCAAAGATAACAAAAGAAGGTTCATAATTTTAGCTGACTGACATAACATGTAGTTTGCAAAAGAACTCTGTGCAATATTTGAAATACACCCAAACAACTCAAAGGGAAAACCTAAATGTAAATTCCAATTCACGTCCCGGGATTCGTGTTCCCTTATAACTATGTACCTGAATCAACTGTTTGCTGTTCACCTTGCAAAGAGCATTCCACGCCACATCCAACTTGGAGGATTCCAGTTTCATTAACTCCTGTGGCTATAGTGAAAAACAGATAATCTTACTTTTTACAGAGGTATAATGGCATATGAAATCTTCATCTATCACAGGTTTCCATCACAACAGTACACAAGGGTTGTAAAACTGAGAAAAAGTTGTAAAATTGAGAAAAATACCTTTTACTTTATATGTATCAACAAAATACTCTAATGGATAGAGACGGAATTAATGTAGAATTTTTTGTCACAACTCTCCACCGTTGACAACGGTGAACTTCAATATCTAAGTATTCACATTCACATGCTAAATACATAAGGCGGGGAGACTTGTTAAATCACATGAAGAACATACATACACTTCCACGGGGCAATAATAATTTCCCTAAGCTAAAGACTGTACTGATCATGAGACAATTGGCGCGTCAAATCGCCTTTAGGAGAAGTCACAAATTTAATACGGAAAAAAATGCCTAGTTCACGGAAAAATTTTATAGTTATCTGTGTTATACATCCACGAAATGTAAAACGCTCTTTACTGGAAAACAAAAATGCCTCCATTTAATTTTTTTATTCTGACTTAACACATTACCTGCATGACAACGGGCAAATTCCATCAAATCTCTTTGAACTGTTTCAACGGGCGACAGCAAAATGTCAGTGCATCCTTCATCACATCGAAGCTGCTGTTCTCTACGCGCTAAAATCAAAACGTCGCAAACAATTACAAACCATAACATGGCTTTCACAGCAAGTAAAATCACCTCACAAGTCCTCACAACGCAACGAAATTTACATCACCATCCGCTGACAAATATTAAAATGATTGACGGTTTGGACAACGCGATATGGCAAGCCAAACATGACAAAAGTAGTATGAGTTTTAAATCATATATCGAGTTTCAGTAATCTATGTATGAGGTTGGGAAATCACTATACGAGAATTAGAAATCATAATTCGAGAATGAAAAGGCACTATACGAGAATGAGAAATCACCATTCGAGAATGTAATCGATTTGTGAGATCAGGAAATTACTATACGAGAATGAGAAATCACCATTCGAAAAAGAGCGATGCAGCAACATGAAAGCCAAACATGACAAAAGTGGTATGAGTTCCAACCAACCTTTCGAGCTTCTGTAATCAATGTGTGAGAATTTTAATCACCGTTCGAGATTCAGGGGCACCCAACGGCAACTTTCGGGAAAATATCTGTTCGGAAGACGATTTAAGAACTAGAATTTTCGGAACATTTGTTGTAAAATTTCTTGCTTGCCTGCCTCTCCTAGGATTTTCGAACGTCAACAAAATGGTATAATTACCCGTTTTAAACGGATATTTACCTTAAAAAAGGCCACCTAGAATTTTCGGGAGCCTTTTCCTGGCTGAAATTTTCGAAAAGGTAAGTTTTGATCCCTATAATTTTCGGATCACTAGACTTTCAGCTAGGAAATCCGAACAGATGAAAAGTTTTTAGGGGATAAAAATATGCCTATATCTACCGTTTAAATACTAAAATACGTTCAACAGTGCTATGTTAAGTGGTTTTGAACTATATCCTCGTTGGGTGCCCCTGGATTATCGATTAGGTTTTCTCGAGCCAGCGAGTAAGTACCGCTCAGCGGTTCACGTTCCGCGTTGATCAAACAAAATGGCCGACAGGATGGCCGATCAGTTAAGCTTGGACGATGTAAGAGAGTTTCTGATTTCTCTAAGCAACACCATCGGTAGAACTGTTACAGTTTATAATGCTTCTGACCTAGTAGGATTAGAAATCTGTGAAAGAAGGCTTGATGAACATACAAGGGTACTTGTCGCTATATCGCTGTCACAAAGTGTTGCAGGTGATTCATCATTGGGAGATTTGTTTGGAGTTTTGGTAGATTCCTTAGCTGTATTATTGAGACATCTCTCTAACATTCTGATTACGTCAAGCTCCCGTGAAAGAGAGGAGAGGTCTGTGACATATTGCACAAGTACAGGAGGAAGACCAGCCTATAACATTACGAAGGAGTTGATAGAGCAGCTACGTGAGACTGGAATGAACTGGCGAAGCATAGCAACGTGTTTAGGAGTCTCTGAGCAAACACTTTACCGACGAAGGGTACAATTCGGAATCGATAACAGTTTCACAGAAATCGCTGACGAGGAATTAGACAGGCAAATACAACAAACCCTAAATTTAACACCATATAGTGGGGAATCCTATGTTAGAGGCAGTCTGAAAGGGAGGGGAATAAATGTTCAAAGGTCCAGAATCAGAGAAAGTTTGAAACGGATAGATGGTATTGGGAGGGCTGTGAGGAGAACGTACGCAATCTGTCGAAGGACCTACAACGTGTCTGGTCCAAATCATTTGTGGCACATTGACTCGAACCATAAACTTATTTCATGGAGATTTATTATCCATGGGTGCATTGATGGATACAGTAGAGCCATTGTTTATCTAAAGTGCTGCAGAAATAACAAAGCAAATACCGTTCTCCAATATTTTGAGCAGGGAGTACAAGCGTTTGGTCTCCCCTCCAGGGTTCGAGGTGATCAGGGGATGGAAAACGTTGATGTAGCAAGATACATGATTACCAACAGGGGGTCAGATAGAGGCAGTTTTATTGCTGGCCGCAGTGTGCATAACCAACGCATTGAGAGGTTGTGGGCAGAAGTTAACAGAGTTAGCTCCGCACTTTACAAGGATTTATTCCAGTTCCTTGAGAACACTGGTACCTTGGATTCACTTGATGAACTGCACTTGTTGGCTTTGCAATATGTATACTTACCGAGGATCAATGCATCTCTAGAAGAATTCACAAGGCAATGGAATCATCATGGGATCAGGACAGCAGGTCATCAATCACCTTTGGCACTGTGGTACAGTGCAATGCTTACTGCTCCAGATGAATCCAGCATCATAAATTGGCAGACATATGGTATTGACAATGATGGCCCTATCTCTGACATTGAAACCAACAATAATGTTGTTGTGCCAGAATCACACCTCCAGCTTTCTGAACAGCAACTTCAGGAATTAGAGCGCAATGTGGATCCCATTTCTGATGATGGAAACAATGGCATTGATCATTTTGTTAATACTGTGAGGATTATCGAAAGCTTCACTTCTTGAACCCCCCACCTTCCTGAGGAGATGTCATCCCAATTTCTTGCCCTGTGGCCTTTGAAGCAGCACATATTAGTTGGAGAAAGAAACAGACTTGCAATTTAAGTTATACCACCAGTACAAGTTTTCAGTTCACATTTTGTTATTTTGTTGTATGATCAAGTGTGCAGGTGGAAGGGGTTAGTGGAATAAGGTCCTCAGTTACTTGATGCAATGCCAAATTCTCGCTGTGTTTCAACAGAATATAAGGCAATTTAGAAGGAGAATCTTGCAATTTATCAGAAGTCACTTGGGGCTTTTTCCAGGCAACCCTTTTTGAACTATCCCCTTCTCTGCTTGTTGGTGACATGGTCAATATTGGTTTAATAGAGGGTGATAGGTATGCAGCCCAAAATGTATTTCTCATGTTTTTGTTGGTGTTATTTTTTTCATTACACTACGCACAAACCACAATAGATTTTAAGATGTGTTTTGAAACTATCAATAGAAACGTTTGTGCCATAGCATGTGAAATAAAGATTGTGCACGGTTGTGGTAATATCATAATAAATTGCAGCGCCTTTCTAGCTTTTAAGTTTGCACGGTTTTATAACCAGTCCCTCGAGAAATGAAAAAGGCAAAGGAAATAATTTCAAGGGAATTCATACATGTGCATTATGGTAGTCACCATGCTATTGACAAAGGCCTAATAAAACAAACTACAATCAATACATAGCAATAATATAAAATTTTTATTGCAACATAATTATTGTTATGCAGTTCTTACAAAATCTGTAGTTACAAACAATTCTTTGTGATTCATTATAAATTAATCACTTTACAATCATATAGGAAGTTGCAAAATCATCCATATGAATTCAGTCATATAACTTAGTGCTTCCAAGACTAGAAATAGAACAACAACAAATGAATGTCCAACCAACCAACCTATGCCACTGATATTATTATAAAGGAAATAAAGGGAGATGTAGAGAATCAACCATAAGAGGACACAGGAAAAATCTGAGCCCCAGATGGGATTCGAACCCACTACCCTCCGTGTTCTAGATCAGATGCTCTAACCTCTGAGCACAGCGTGACTGTGTGATCCAATTCACAAGTCCAACCCACAAAAATGACCCTTGCTCGCCAACGAGTCCTCAGTAGCTCAGAGGTTAGAGCAGCCGACCTACAACACAGAGGGTCGTGGGTTCGAATCTTTACATCTCCCTTTATTTCCTTTATAATAATAATAAATGAATGGCAGTAAAAAAACAGGAACACTAAGGTAGTTTTTCATAACCTGTACAACAGAAGTGTTAACAGATCATAAATATTTTAACATCAAGGGAGTCCTTAATCTCATCTGGTTAACAGCTCACATTTTTCTTGATACATCATCAGGACGATACTTATTAATCATGCATGTGAACATGTAACTTATGCTTCACAGACTAGAATAGGAACGACAAGTGAATAGAAAACTGGAACACTAAAGTGGTTTTCCATAACCTTAAAACAGAAGTTACTTAATGTGATTATTAATTAATCACAAAATTTTTAACATAAAGGGAGTCCTTATTAATCTCATCTGATGAACAGTTCACAGTCATAAACAATCACAACTACTCATGGTCATAACTTTAAACAGTAAGACTTGAAGGGTTACTTTCAGCTAACCTTTAGCGCATGGCAAATGTTTGGCCTTTACAGAAAGCTAATAGGAAGATTTCTTTAAATTTGTCGAAACCTGCCATGTGGCAAACAGGAAAAGTGATTGTTTGTCCACAGGCCCCCACATAAGGGAAGCACAGCCTGTGTTCTGGGTTGCGAATCAAACATTCATGGTCAAACTTGACAGTGATTGCACGGTCTGTTTTCCCAATGTCCCTATGTTTCTGTCCCGTCAGCCAACCAAGTACTCCTGCTGGTGTCAGGTCTGGGATGCTAAAGGTTTCAGTCTCCTGATCATCATTGGTGCATTGGTCTGCATCATCATCTGTATTACAGGCTATAGCTTCTGTATAGCCTGTAATAACCTCGTCCTCAAGGCTGATTAGGAAGTCTTGAAAATTATCCATAATTTCCTCTTCTTTCAGTCGTCGCGAGGACCCTTCTGGAGAGAATTCAGGTGCCATCAAGGAAACGAGGTAGTTAGCATCCACTTTCTGCTGCTGTCCCATAAGAAATAGACCTCGAGTAACTTGTGAATATCTGGAAATAAGACCTGACAACCCATAAAGTTGCAACCCCTTTTTGAACTCCTTGAGGCAAAGTGTCCTCCTGCTCAGCATACTGACAACAATTGAGGCAGTTATGGAGTGCAAGTGTTCTTTATCGATCACCCCTGTGTACCCATGTTCAATAATGGTATCTTGATGATCCATGACATTGCTTTGTATGTGGTGCAGTAGTTCTTGTTCAGTTGAAGTCAGGTGTTGTTCAGGACTGACACTTGTGAAGTCAATGTCACTTTCCAGAACCAAAGTATTATAGACACATTCTGCTAAAAAGCATGGTGGTGGCCCGCCTTGGGCTAAGCTTGTTGCTGCTATTTCTCCACATGCTTTAAAATTTCCATTTTGGACGTCATTTGTGGAGTGTACTGGGCTGCCATTGGGAAAGAACTTTTTTCCAATATCTGCAATTGTCAAGGTGAGGAATTCCTTAGTCAATGCACCGGAATCAATTCCTTGCTCTCCAAGGAACTTGATTCTAAGTTCATGTTCCGGAGAAATTTTGCGGGATTCTCTACGCCAGAGGTTAAGAACTCTCTCTAATGGTGCGCCTCTTCTTACTACAAGGAACAAGGACTCTTTTTCCCTTATCACCTTCTCTTCTAGCACTTTAAGTACGCCAGCCTGATCATCTATAGTTGAACAATCAACAGATCCGAGCAAATGGCTGGTTTCCCTGTCAAAGTCTCTGTTGAATGCTTCCTGTAATGACCTTGCAACTTGTTCGTCATTCTTTATTTGAGTGTCTTCAGCATCATTGGTGGCAAGGTCGACGACAGATGGCCCAGGCATTTGATCAGATGAGGAAAACACTGGTTTTTCTAACAGTGCATCTGCATCTGAGAACATACACAAACAAATATTAGAATCACATTTCAGTAAATAAGCATTTGATGGAGTTCAAGAATATTTGCAGGTAAATAGCTACAGATAGGTGGACTGTTGGGTTGACCAGTGGATATGGGTTCAAATCTCGTGTATCACCTAGATTTTTAAGGTTTCTTTACATTTGCTTATAACATGACTACCAGAATCAAAAATTTCCCTGAAAGTGTATCTCTTTGTTAAATGCAATAAATGATGATAATAATAAATTGATATAATATATTTTATTCTTATAATGAGAAATAATAAGAATCATCCATGAATGATCATAGTAAACGATAGTAAATATAATTTCCACAGACAGATGCTTTGAAGAAAGATAAACAAATTCTAATTTTTCTTATTGCAAACAAGATGCAATTTAAATGGGCCTATTTCAATGTACATATATTAAAATTCTCACTTGACTATGAGGCTTGTGGAAATACATGATATTCATTTCCTTTTGAATTTTTACACTTTACTGAGCCTTAGAGACAAGTCAGAATTTTAAGGTATTGAAATTGGGCTATTTTATGGAAAGAGTTACCTTGATCATTATTTGGCTGCAAAAGATAGCTTTCAATAATTGGTTGGGATTGCTGCAGCTGGGTGGGGCACGAATGACTTAGCCGATGCTGTGCTGATTGATTTCCTACCATAAAATAAGTACCAGTAAATAAGTTAAAAGTATGCTAGACAATGATCAATAGCTGTGGTCACACCACACACTTTCACCCTTTTGCCCAGGGCAACCAGCCTCAAAATCTGCTCACCAAACCTACAGTAAAATAAGTCAATCTATTTTTACATGTACCTGATTGTTCTTGCACTCTCTCTTCATCTTCTGCCTCTTCATCTTCCTAAACATAGTGAAAGAGTAATTTTAATAGTAAGGCAAACTCATTTTTCACATCTGAATGTGGGAGAGGGGAATGGAGGCGGGGTATGTGGGGGGGGGGGGGAGAGGGTGCTGTTTATATCCATGCAACATTTATTGAGGAATTTTGAGTTCTCACCTGCATGAAACTGGGCAATAACTGCAATAACTGGAAAGTCCGTACGGACGGACGTACGCTGACGTCATAACCAAAATTTCTCGGACGGATAGTTTACCAAATTATCTTAGTGATGGTGCTCCGCTCGCGCGCGCTTCGCGCGCGCAAGGAGCTCCGCTAATCCGCTATATATGGACGGTCGTAGAGCGTGATCAACGCGTGACTATGGTGAGAAAAGTGAAAAGCCTCTGTCTTCCCTGCTTGTATTTTTAAATGACTGGCTGAATTTTCGAGTCCGAGATCAGTTTGAAATCAAAATGTTAATAGCGCGGGGCCATAATGACATTAACACAACACTTTCTGTCATCATGTCATTATTTTGCTGCCGTTCTCTTTGCCTTTGTATTTCTCTTTCGCGTTGCCTTTGTCTGTTCATTCTAGCTCTGTCTCGTTCTGCTTGCCGGCGTTTTTCACTATAATTTTCTCTCCTTCTTCTCACTCTGACTCTTTCTACTTGCTTTCTTTTTTTCAAAACCAGTTGCGCGATATAATTGCGCGACGTTGCGCCATGCGATTTCCCGCCAAAAAATCTCTACTTTCCCCTACCCCAAGAGTCCATGCAGACTACTTTCCACTACCCGGAAAGTCCGTACGGACGGACGTACGCTACGTCATAACCAAATTTTCTGGGATGTATAGTTTACCAAATTTTCTTACCCATGGTGCTCCGCTGCGCGCGCGCTTCGCGCGCGCGGGAGCTCCGCTATTATCGATCCCGAACACTCCCAGAGGTTAATGGCCAAACTGTTTTGGAAAGTTAAACTGAAATGCTTATTGCCTGAGGAAAAGTCGGTGAAATGTTTCTTGTCCGTTGTTGTGTTTTGATGGGTTAAAAAGGATGATGCTACTTGATAAGTAGTTCATGGATGGAAAGGAAAAGTGGTACTTTAAATGGATTTTTGGTAGCTACGTAGAAAACTGGGAGTAACCAGACATTTTTTCGGCAGAGATAATGCCGCAAATAACCTTAAACCTTCTCGTAATGCGCACTAGCCGTTCTTAACGGTTACGTAATTAAAAAAAACTTTTAAGAAAAACTAGGAAAAAATAAAATATTTACTGTTTAGTTAATAGAAACAAAATTTGTCTTCGCAATATAAATCATTGCGTAATCTCCTTTTGGATTTTGAAAAAGCATTACGCAACTAATTCAACAATTAAAGATAAGTACAGCTGTACTTTCTTTTGAATGCAGTGAAAGTTGTTGCTAGTTAAAATAATTTAAGCGTGAGGAACCTCTCTAAATAATGTTTTCTAGAAACACTCATAATTGGTACTCAAAATGAGTAGAATTGAGTCAAAGTTTGAATCAAAGACTAGTGGTAAAATTTATGGATCCTCGAAGAATTTTCTTTCAGTTTGCTATTGGAAGGCCTGTTGGTAAAATGATTCCTTGTTCTCTCGCCGTGAGAGACCTCTGCTACCAGGGAAGTACAATAATGATTACAGGATATGATGAAATTTAGTCACCGCTGATACCTGTGAAGAACGGAAGAGTGGATATGATAACGACAAAAGCAGAGCTTTCAAAACCTGTCTTAAGGCTGAAGAACTACAATTTTTAACAAAAATTTTTAACAGTCGGTGTAAACCATTCTACCGTTTGTCAAGGTCGTTGCTTAAGTGTTGCTTGATTCTTCTAAAGCTCTTGTATTGAACTTTCAGGGACTGCTTCTCGGAACAGATGCGGCCTACAGTCCAGCTGCTGTTTACGCAGACAACAAAGCAATTCTTTAAAAAAGGCTCCTTTATGTCCGTTAACAATGTGTGAGGAGCCTCGCTTCTAGCTATAATTTAATTGTTGTCAGTCACGTTCAAAGATCAACGATAAACAGTGGAATAATTCGCACTTTGGCTTATGTATATAACCTCATAATTATTATGTTAGAAGCGTAGCACCAAACGACTTATCTCTTGATTAACCTTAACCAGTTAACATTAAACAGTAATACTGTTGCCTCACAGTTATAAGGACCTCTTTAGTTATCTACTTTGAAGGGGCCACTTTTGGCATCCAATTTGAATATTTTGCCACATATCGCCAGCCCTCTGGCGATTTTTGCCAAAATCGCCAATTTCGCCAAAATCGCCAGCCTCCCAGGGGCCACTTTTGGCATCCAGTTCAAATCACCAGAGGCTGGTGATTTTTCGCCAGTTTCGCCATTTTCGCCATTGCATGCATGGCAATTTTTGCCAAAATCGCCAATTTCGCCAAAATCGCCATTTTCGCCAAAATCGCCAGCCTCCAAGAGGCTACTTTTGGCATCCAATTCAAATCGCCAACAGCTGGCGATTTTTCGCCAGTTTCGCCATTTTCGCCATTGCATGCATTTCTGGACATGAGTGAAATGGTCAACGACAACAATTCTTTTTTACGGTTTATTTTTCCTCAGGTATTAAGTGCTAAAACACCATCAAGATATGCAAAATAGGACTTCTAAAAGGACCGATTCCCACTGAAATTAAACAAAAAATAAATAAACATGTCTCTTCGCGAGTGATGACGTGCTGTATCACTATAAGCCGGCATCAGAGATCCAAAACATGTTATTCGTCTGCTGCCACTAAAAGGTAGTGAATGATGAATACCGTATTTATTCGATTAACCGCCCTGGGCGCTTATTAAATGTTTTGACCTTGAGAGTGGGCGCTTATTCGAGGTGGGTGCTTATTAGAGGCTGAGCGCTTATTAAATTTTCACAATTTCAAAAAGTGTAGTATGTTTATTTTGCGACAAAACAATAAATGGTAATAACGAACTCGAAGATGTAACAAAGCAAGGTTTCTGTAAAATACTCTGCAGAAAACTCCGTCTTCGGGGAAGTCTCTTATTAGTACTTATTCAATTTTTTTCGGTTGGGAGGTGAAAGGGGGTGGGGTTGGGGTGGGCGCTTATTCGAGGCTGGGCGCTTATTAACTTTTTCTGCCTTTAGGATGGGCGCTTATTCGAGGTGGGCGCTAACTCGAGATTGGGCGCTTATTCGAATAAATACGGTATGTAACTTTATAATAGCGATTTCCCCTGTGGATTTTGCTTAGAGGCTGTGATAAAGACGTTTTTTCCACTGTCGGACTAGCAGATGTAGTGATTCTCTTGAAAGACATTGTCTCCCGCCAAGAAAATTCTGCGCATGTCATTTGCAGGTCTGATAAAATTCTCAACTTTAAAAATCTTTTTTGCGCATGTCATAAGTCGGCATCCAGACCAGCTGAGCTAATCCCGGTGTAGAAAATTTGAAAATTCGGGTTGAGGTCCAATTTTTTGCGACGCAGCTCGTCGACTTTCTGATTGCATTGTTTGCCTAAAATTGGAACCTTCTTACCAAGCCAAATCAAAATAAAAGCCTTAATATTGCAGATTGCAATGAAAAGAAAAGTACATGTTAGCAAGTATAGTTAAAGTGGTATAAAGAGTCTAAGAGGGAACAACAATGGAAATTACTGTCCACAAATTTGAAGAAAACAAACTGTCGGGCTTTACACTTTCGACTGAGTTTTTTTTTTGACAACGTATCATTCTCTCTCTCCAATTATCTAAGTAGCTGGCCCAAGTTTCCTTACAGCCAAAAACCACGTGATACGCGTTCTACAGTGCATGAGCGAGGCCCTCCTTACTTGTAGGCGTGTAAAATATCACCATGAGTGAGTCTTAACAAGCAAAGTTGGGAGAGTCCACAACTACTGGCAAAAATGTTTTACATGCTGAGATACGCACAAATGATATGAACA